AAACTTAAAATATTGATTCAATAAGTTTAATATCAATATATTTATTGAAAAATAGCTATTATGTCAAAATAAGAAAACTTAAGATTCTCACGCGAATAGGCAATGTTTTTATGAGTGACTGTTCGTCGTTAGTTGCAAACGACGGTAATATAAACAAGGTCAAGGTTTTATCGAAAGCGATTGACTGTTAGATTTCCTTTTATTCTATTTTATAACTAAATAATGTTATTTCCTACAAATTTAGCTTTATTGTAGCTTTATCAAAAGTATAAAAAAAACATGGAAACGGCGAATTACTATAGATTGAAAATAATTATTAAACTATGATTGAAATTATCGACGTAGAATACTATTTCGTTGTATTAAATTTCAATAGTATAATGAGAATTTTGTTTGATATTTTAATATATTTCATGTTATTTACAAAATGTACTGTAGTTTTGAAGTTTTGCACACAATATAGTATATATTGATAGCGTAGCCAGGCTTCACGATATAAATATTAAAAACGACTGCATGATAAATAATCATTCATTTTATGATTAATATTTTATTGCGACCACAACTGCTCCAGAATCACAACAAATAACAGAATATAAGGAAAATTAAAACCTGCAAAGCTTTATCTACCTTGATCTATTTTTAAAGGCGCTCAATTATGTAAATTTCCCGCGAACACTCAAACATTTTTCTTTGCCTTTCATCGAGCATGAGTGATGAAATGCTCGTCGGAAAAACTCGGTATTTGTCGTATTTTACGAATTTGCCACGTGACCGGTACGCTCACCAATGAAAGTTGCATGCCATATATGGCATGCAACAAAAAATTAGTTAGGCCAGCAATTTGACCCGCGGCCCGCAATTGTTTTAACCCGCAGCCCGCAAAAACTGACCCGCAGCCCGCAAAAACTAACCCGCAGCCCGCGGCCCGCAAAATAGCTAGACCCGGTTATTGAGGCATATTTTCTTTGAATCGTACGTATTAAGAATATATCGCATAAAAGAATTGCCTCAGCCTTTTTATTTGTCTAAATGGGAAGCAAATACTGTAGCCCTAACAAACGGTTCACCGAGAACAATTTTGGCACTTCAAGTAAAACGTCTGATCTTTTACCTAGAAAGAAATCTCACTCATATAACTTCAGAAATGCTAAACATTCCACTTTTTAAGACACGTACAAGTAGATTTTATGATAGTTTTTTACCAACCTGTGTGCGGGAATGGGATTTGCCTTGAACCTTTTCAATTTAATAACCTAATACAATGCATAAAATTTCTATATTTGAATTGTACATATATTTTTATATATTCTAATCTAAACTATTCTATTTTAATGTTACTTGTTACTTGAGTTTTTCAGTTTCTTTTTTGTAAACTGCCATTCAAGTTTTAATAAATTCAATTCAATTCAACATTAGCATCAAAATTTTATCAAACGTTTCTATTGTTTTTGCTCCTTCGCTCGCTTAAAAATTCAAGCAACAGCAGGGCACTATAAAACACGGGCGGGGAAACGCGCTAATAAATGACCTTGCTACGTGTGATGCTCATTACTTTTTGCGCGAGCGCACTTTCTCTAAAAAATCAGAAAATCGTGCACAAGATGGCAACAAAAAATGTAAATGGGTGATAAAGAAGATTGTCAACCGATATCAGTGTGACATCCCAGTTTACTGATATATCAATATACTCGGTATATTGATTTATCGGCATACAGAATTATTTTTGTATCTGCGCGGAGCGCTAGATACTATGCTATCGAGTTGTGGGTGTGTGTGGGCATGCGTGCGTGCGTTAAACACTCAGGTCGACTAATTAGGGCTGTACGCCTGCGAACAGGCCGTAAAACAAAGATGGCGGCTTTCTACAGAGTGACGGACGAGTATTTTATATTTTGTTCTGGCTATGTATATAAGTCAAAATTCTCCGATAAAAACTTTTTGTTATATCTTAGATTGCCCAAAGTAACCGTGCATGTTTTTTTAATAATATCGATTGTCTATTCATAATTAACATATACTGACCGTACTCATGTATGGGATGTAAAAATTTTTTTACATATGGTACATTTTATATATAGTCACAGCATTCACAATTATTATGTTACGTTAAAATTTTGTTATATGGTTCATTAGTCACAGGACATGTTAGGATTATAGGATTGCTTCATAAGCTGAGTTAAAGTTAACTTGAAATTTCTTTACAGATTGTATTTTTTTCATTTAGCATACATTTATAAATGTGGGTACGGACTACAGTATTTACCTCGGCAATTTTGTACCCATTTCATACAGAACTCTTATTCTGTTTTTATTATAAACAATGGTAGCTTTCTGACCCTGGGGCTCCGGAACCACGGGCGCAACTGCCCCCGTTGCCCAAACATTGCGGGGGCAACAGGTTGCCATTTTTTTTGCCAGAACTGCACCTCGAAATTTGTGCATTATTCACAGGAATTGGAATTTAGAAGTTAGAACTATTTTTAAGCAATATTTAAAGATGCGGTACAGTTCGTATGCAAACAAAGGTTTTGTTTGCATTTCGGTATCCAAAATATAGAATTTTATTCGACAACTATTTATATTTTCATGATTCTAGAGTATAATAAATTATCAAGACACAACAATGAATTAAGCTTTGCAAGAGCATAAAATGAAATAAAAACCTAAATAATATAAACTGTTTGTATAAAAAAGAAAGAGGGCTCCTTTGTTCACATACGCAGATCAGACTGTACAGCATCTTTAAGCAATCTTTGCTTAATTTTTAACCAGTTGTAGTAAAATTAATGCTAAATCAAGCAATATACGTCTGTTTACTGATTTCATTTTGCGCCTGTAGCATCGTACGTGTAACGAATAGCTAAAAATCGATCAACATTTCGACGTTTGCGATCCATAGTAGCCAGAAGTAATCGAGTATCCATACAGTAAAGTTTTAACAAATATTGTTGCCCAGAAAAATGAGCAAGTGCCCTTTTGAAATGGCTGTGCCCCGCCGCTTCACATTGCTTCCTGCGCCCCTGTTCTGACAATTGATTGCGGTAGAGAAAAGACTGCAATCTGAACATTCTTTGTCCTATCATCAAATATTCAAATATAAACAAAGTGACTATACTGCCGGCAGTCGGGTATTTAGTAAACTGCAGCCGGCTATATGCTGACTATATAGTTAAATATAAAAAACTTTTTTTTGCGGCTAGCTTTTACCGAGCTTGCGGTTAGAGTACACGCTATAGGCGCTGTGTGTGGAAAGTGAAATGCTGGTCGGGGTGTGTTTTGTCTGACGTAGTATGAACTTTGATAAATAAAGCGTCGATTTCTCATCTGAAACAATTATTTATGTTAAGTACATAAATTTAATATTATGGTTCGGCTCACCACGCACTTTACAAAAAACAAACAAAAATGTTGATATTAAAATAACAATAAACGATTGCAGATACGTTATTAATGATACAGTATGGTTTCAAATACTTGCAGTTTCAAGAATTTCGCAGTCATTTTTTATTATTTTTTAAAATTCACTCATTGGAGCAGTGGGGGCGAAAGTTATCCCGCCCCTCCCCTATAAATTATTGGAGGGGTCGCGGTCCCCCTGCTTCTTACGCCCCTGTATTAATAAACTCGGTATATTGATTTCTCGGTACAAACAGAATCATTTTAAAGTATAACAACCAGCGAAGCTCGAAGAAGTAAGCCACTATGGTTTCGAGTTTGCGACCGCCGACAGCCGACCTCTGAACTTTGATAAATAAAATTATTGCGCGTTCCGAGTCTGTATCATACAGCGTCGATTTGTTACTCCTTCTTAGTTTCTCGTGCGAAACAATTATTTTAAGTGCATAAATACACAGCATATATTAATATGGTTTGGCTCACTACAAACTTTCATTGAGTGCCGATGTTTATTGTTTAGGACGTAAATCTGCAATAAGATGTTGTTGTTAAAATTCCGAATCGATAGATATACGCATGGGCATGTACTAAAACCCGAAACACCCGGAACGAAACCACCGGAACGACCGGAACAAGAATCGGAAATGACCGGAACCACCGAAACCAAAATCGAACACGATCGGAACAAAGTAGTAGAACACGACTGGAACGATAGTTATTTAGTGTTCTACTACTTTGTTCCGATCGTGTTCGATTTTGGTTTCGGTGGTTCCGGTCATTTCCTATTCTTGTTCCAGTCGTTCCGGTTGTTCCGATGGTTTCGTTCCCGTGTTTTCGTTCCGGTTGTTTCGGGTTTTGCCACATGCCATACGCATGCGATATAAATCCTATAGATCACTGTATATAACTGATTTAATCTTCTGTTGAAAGACCTTTTATATATATTTATAGCATATGAATCTCAATATAGTGAACCGTAAAATGCATTCTCTGCGCTAATCAGCTCATATCGAATATTTCACTAAATGTACACAACAGTGGACAAAATAAAAAAGCAACAGTGATGTTATAATATTAATATTAAATGTTGAAAGTAGAGCAAAAACATTTATAATAAAGGCTCGCCTTTGAAACTCAGTCACAGCGCTTCGAATTTACAACTTGTCTCGGCAAACACTTGTTGGGGGGGCTTGCTCGTCACCGAACATTACACGCACGTGAAGAATTAAAGAAGCCGACGGAAGTGCATTATGATAAAAAATACCGGCGATCATAATGCATCGCGCTTGGTTAAAATTCAGATTTCAACCCCTATTTCAAAGTTTAGGTCTGCTGCCTTGCTCGGTCGCAACAATACATTAGTAAGTGACAGAAAGAATTAGAGCAGATTGCAGTTGTTTTTGCAAACCGGGCACTGTGCGAATTTTGCCATTTCACCCATTCGCTGTGCTTCGTTTGCCAATAACGAACGCGTGCTACAGTCCGATTTCCGGTTTTGAAAGACAAGATTCGCAGCCAAACAGTGCGCGCAAAGCAGGCAATTAAACATGCGTGCAGGATGGCAATTTCCCATTGTTTAACTGCCCCACATTTTATTATACCTGGTAAGCATTCAACTCCAGCGTCCTCACCATGATCACAATTATGAGTTCCCCATCCACTATGGGAACAATTGGCCAAACTTTGTTCACTGCCAGTGCAACCGACATCATCTAACCATATCTGTCCAGTACCACGAGGAACGTCGCCCTCTTTAAGTGCTTTAACAGCATTTGTATAACCAAGTTGACGACATGCAACCCTGGCATCATTTATATCCCAACTATCATCACAGATTGTTCCCCATTTCCCATTGTGTAATACTTCAACACGACCAAAACCATTGGATCCTTTTATCCTGATAGTTATTGCTATGAAAATTTGATACAAATACAAATTAGAATGAGGCTGTCACAGGTGCAGATGATGGGATTTGATTTTAGCTGAGTTTCAAGTATGGTATATTTCAGTAATACATGCATGCATGTTGGGTAATTAGTGACAGTAGGTACACTATTGATCTAAAAATAAAACCAGATTGAGTAACTGTTGTCTGAAAATGAAGCCGAAAATCTACCGTTCACTATGAGGCCATCTAATTATTTTTTAACGGCATATGGTAAATGTTTCTTTCCTAGGATGCTATATTTGACAAAATAATCGTTTTTGCTATTTTTAACTCGAAAATTATGATCAAAATGTGTGCAAAAACCATCGTTGAGTGGCTCTGGCCACACGAGTTGAGTTATTAGAAAATACGGTAAAAGTCAATCTCGTTCCCCGAGCCTGCGATCCTCGGGAAGGAACGCAGGCTCTGGGATAATCCGTTACCGGAAGCCAGGAATTCTGGCTAAGATTGAACTAAGCATTCCATTTCAACGGCCAATCAGATTCCTCCCTGAAACGGATTATCCCAGAGCCTCGCGTTCCTTCCCAAGGATCGCAGGCTCGGTGAACGAGATTGGGTAAAAGTACAATATTTTCCAATTAACTATTTCGTACCCATTCTCCGGGAATCCGCTCGCGCCATAGTATTTTCAAGAGGAGTGGAGAGCTAACTTTTTGCTGAAAATATCAATAAAATCGCAATTTTTCGCGTCAAAAGCGGCATTAAAATATGTTCGGCGCAGTTAGTCTGAACAACAAGGATACTGAGTGCACGTGTCATTTCCGTTTAACAAGTAATTTGAGATGATTGAAACACCGGCTTGTACACATGTCAACACTCATCGAGTCATCGATCGATCAAATATTTTATCTCAAATGGCTTCTATTTCCTTCAAAATGTTCTGATTTCTTCCAGACGTATAAGTACGTTTAATTATTTGTTATATAAAGGTAATTTAATAACTCTCAGCTTTATTAAATAGGCTATTCTTGAGCAAGAACGTTGCTTGTTGCACACTACCTTGGTTGCCTTTAATTCTTTAATTTGTTACAATTTATATTGTTCATGTGAATCACTTCATTATTTTGTTTCAAGGTTAATTTTTGAACCTTGGGCTCTGAATTTTCATCCTAATTGTAGTCTATTTAGGATACCACAAAAGATAATTGTGTACCCCCTAAAAATGCAGCAGATTTTCAGAAATTCTATAGCATACCCAATATTTATCACCTAACATTATACATGCATTACTGTGAATCTATCATACCTACTGTAGGGAATTTAAAACCAAATATTATTCTTCATAAAATGATAAAATAAAAATATTTTTCTCAATAAAGAAGGGTACTGGCAATTGAGCAAAAGCCAGTAGCAGAATACCTGTGTGTGTTTATTAAATGGTTGACTATTTTATAACTTTAGCATTACATTTCTTTCAGATACACCCGGGGCTGTGCATATGATAATCTTTTTATTATGCCAATTAATGCCAGTATATCCGGAAACAATGGCAATCAGTTTCAAGTCAAAATTATACAGTTCTGTATTCTGGAACAGTAAACAGCTTAATTGACATATTGCATTATAATGAAGAGTCTAATATTAATAACTTACTGACCGAGAGTGAGGGCAGTAGTACGGGAAAATATCCAACCGAGGTCTTGCTGTATTGACCGAGCGATAGCGAGGTCAATACAGCAAGACCGAGGTTGGATATTTTCCCGTACTGCCCGAACGGTTGAGGTCAGTAAGTTTTTGTATCTGCAAAGCAGATATATATGCTATCGCAAACGTGACCGTACCGTATGTTAGCACGTAGCCATTCAGCGACGAGCTTATATAATTTAAGCCAATCTTACATAATTTAAGCCAATCAGCGATTCGTTTACATCAATTGTTTACATCGTGCCCGCTGATCTAACCTGCGAACGGGCATACTTTAGCCTCGTCAGGCCTCGTGTATAAATCGTGTTTTATATTCTTTCAAAAATATCTTGATATTTTTATCAATTTATCTTGAATTGGCTGTCTTGTTTTCTGACTTTTCTCGCCATTCTACTTGCGATATTATTCCGAAGTTATATATCAACATGGAATCTTATCCTCATCTGGTAAGTAGTCAAATACCACATATTATATATTTAAATACCAAATTTGTGCAAATACATGTCCCACATATTTTATAAGTTTTATAATACATGAGTTCGCCAGTTCGGCAAATATTTACTATACTATCTATAGTTAATATTGCCGTATCTTCGGCGTAGAGTTTACATGGGATGCACTCTGGAATTTTTTTATTATAAATATATTGCACTGTATAAAATATTGGATATTGTCGAGGATATTCTAAGCCATTTGTCAACATAGTTCACAAAAAGGTTTATACAGTATTAAAAATAATCCTTCTGTGACCGTTCTGTAATATTTTAAACAGTGAAAACATTCTCCGGAGATATTGACTTAATTCCTGGTCCTGTATTTCTGTATATTGACTTCATAACTCTGTTCAAAACAACAGTCCAACTATAAAGCTGTCATCAAATGTAGTGCTAGAGCAAAGGTTGAAGATGTTATCAGTTCAGTAAAATACTTATACATTTTGGTTTTACACATTAGAGTTAATTAAACAAAATTTTTACAAACGTTTTCAGATAAAAGAATCCTCACCCTCCCGAGCCTCATCACATTGTCATTTTGCTTTCTAACATAAATATTTTTCTTTAGAGATTAATACAAGAATGAAGAATAAATGTACTGGATATTGGCTGGATAATTTTATCAGAACAGCCAACTTGCAATACAATCTTACCTAAATCCATTAGTATGGAAAATAACTTAACAGCTACAATGAGTAATCATATATTATATGGTGGATTTGATCAATGGCACACAATGTACAAAACTAAACTTGTGATACCTTCTACTCAAACCGATAATCTCCCACAACACGATTGTTTTTGTGTGAATGTGCTGTACATGTCAAACCGAACAGTGTGCATGGTATATCATTTACTGTGCACAGAACTGGAATTTAATTATGTATACTTCACTCATGACCTTCAAAACATTCTCAATTATTCAGTGGTCTCCGACATGTTGACCAAATATTTTGTGTATGTTACTCAACAGTTAACATTGGCAAGTGTAAACAACAGGTGACATAACTTTTGCTTCATATGATTACAATAAAGTTTTGAAAATTTGATGAGTATGGATTGAATTGACAGGTGACAGATTACTAAATAGCCGGCTGTATAGACACTTTGAATATTATGAAATCTGCTGTGTTGGTGTAATGTACTCAGGTGAATAAGATGTTTGTGTGATGTTACTCTGAGTGTGTATCCACACCGGGCAGGCTTGAAAAATATGCCTGGCCACGGCGGGATTCGAACCTACGACCTTTGGAATACCAGCCCAATGCTCTTCCAACTGAGCTACGCGGTCAGGACGGTTCGAGTATGCGATATTTCGGAACTGAGTCTAGTTCCTTCGATATCAGTGTAATCTACACTGATATCGAAGGAACTAGACTCAGTTCCTTCGAAGGAACTAGACTCAGTTCCTGCAATATGGCCTCCCTCCTTTTGAAGGCCCCCTGCAATGTTGCCCCCAAACTGAATATTCGAAACACTCTGAAATTCATATATAGTCTTCATGCACGCTTCAGCCAATACTGGAGTTATTTCACGGTAGCATGCATCGTCGATACTTGGTACACAAGCAAATTCGTCGCTTTCTCGTGCAAAATCGCGGAATAATGTCCTTGCCGCCGCCCATTGTTTGTATACTTTCTTACACCAAAGTGTATATGTATATGTCTTTTGGTGGCCGAAGGAACTAGATTTTCCTTACTTCGGCAACATGTTTATCGCTGACAAACGAAAAGCGGACTGCAACCATCAATCCTTCGATCCGACTAAAAAACATGTATTTGAAAGCCAAATTTACAGCGTGGATTCACTGAACCAATTAGATAATAAGATTTCATAAAACAATAACCTCCATTGTTTCGCAAATTTACCCAACAAAAGAGGGGAAGCGAGTAAAAAGCTTGCGCAAATTTTCATAACAAAAGAGGATAATTAAATTAAGAAGCTGGAATACAATGGTCGACCGTGTCAAATGCTTTTCTAAAGTCTGAGAAGAGAACCCCGTTGATTACACCCTTATCCGTGTTTATATACCTATCACACCCATTTTCTATTGTCCTCGAGAGTTTGTGGTTGTGGAACGAAATAAGGTGTAACATGCGCATTACATACTCCTTAATGTGGTTAAGCATGCGCAATCTATCATTTCACGTCCCACAAGCAAAAGAGCAGATATTACTGAATAAATTCCCAGCTAGTCATCGTGCACCGGATGATATATATTCTACATTTAAACAATGGACGGACGAAGAATTGGTGCAGAAGAACGAGGAATGGATATAGAAGTTAGTAACGAAGGAAGAGTTTGTGACGAAGTATGGAAGGTTGGAGACGAAGGAGGAGGACCTGGCGGCGAAAGGCGAAGTCCTAGGGGTGACGAAAGGCGAAAGCGCAGCCTCAGGTGGTGAACGGAGCCAGGAAATCGTGATTGAAAGAGCGGGGAAAGAAGTGCAAACGGCTGGAAGATCGTGGACAGATATTGTTGGTTCGCAGAATTTAAGTTAAGGAGTTGTACCGTTATCACATGCTCGGTTTGGAGCTAGAGTTGCAAGACCCAACTCTGTTGTGTTGCATACCCAGGCGTTTAAAGGTATTACAGTGCGTGAGGTCATGGATGCAGTTTTAAAATGCGTGAGACAAGATAGAATTAAATGTGTGCAACAAGTTCCTGGGTGTCGGTATCGTTTGACTTTTCGCTCGTTGGAATATAAACAATTATTTTTAGATCAACCGTTTCATTTGCGGGGTCAAAGAGTTATATATTGCTCAAGAACTTCATATGCCCACGTTAATGGTTAAAGTTTTGTATGTCCCTAATGAAATTTCTAATCAAACGATAGATAGCTGCAACGTTGGAGAAGTATGACAAAATAATGAAGGTGGAACGGGAAATGTATCGTGATTGGCCTAATGTAGAAACTGGTGTAAGACTGGAACAATGAGTGAATTAACTGAGGGGATCGATTACTCGTCGTCTCTTTATTGGCCCTTATCCGATAGAAACTAGATAGCATGGGCAAGTGCCTTTTTGTAGCAGATGTGGCAAATATGGACATCGTGTTGCTACTGTACGTGTTCGAATGATGTAAAGTGTTTCAAGTGTGGTCAAAATGGTCATATCCGACGCCATCACCCAACAGAACAAGAAACTGTCCAAATAATCGAGAACAACAAACGGAAAGCAGAAGAGGACGTTTCCATACCTGAAGAGGGCGTTCCGATTCCTGAGGACCCCACTGATCAACGTGTCAGTGATATGGGAGGCTCACCTGAAGAAAAGACAAAAAAGACGGATATAGGGAAAAAGAAAAAGTGGAAAAAAATAAACACTAAGGACTTTATAAAATATGAAAAATTTGATGTTATATTTCTTCAAGAAACGCACATTGCAACCGTTGTAACCTGAGTATCAGGCCCTCGGTATTGAAAGAGGGCCTGACACAATTCGCCTCTAAGCCATGTTCAACATCCAGAATCTGGATGTTATTCTGATTGGCTAAGAGACGATAAAACGCATCATGTGATTCAAACCGGAAACATATGACCGGCGTATGTAAACACCAAAAATAGAATTTGTAATTTTGTCAATATACTGTTAAAAGTGCTTTATTTCTGAAATTTATTTTCAATTAATTAAGCCTAAAAAGGACAAAATAAGTACGAAAAGACGTTGAAAACGCTTTTGCAGCAACATTTTACTCGGTATAAAACAAAAACTACATAGTCATAGTAGAAAGCGTGTCTAAATATCTCGCCGTAATAGTCGCCGTAGAACGAAAATATGTGGATGTCGGAAATTTTCAAATATTTAGTTCCAGAAAGCTGAAGCCTTATTTATCAGTTTATTGCGGAGCTGTTTTCCAAGACCTGCAAGGAAATAGTAGTCAGCTCGCTCGAACTAATATGCCAACATCAGGCAGAAATTGAAGACAATAGCCGCTGTGTCAGACGCAGTTGAAGCGAATAGCTGTCTCGAATAAACTATCAACATGACACGAGGACCGAGGAAGAAATCCTATTCAGAGCGCCGAATGGTTGTCTCTTTAGACTCCTGGAAAAAGCCATCGAGCTATGGTTCCCCGAATGAGGCATAGTTTACACTTAGAATTCCATCATGTGGATATTTCGACAAAACATACCGATTTTTCTCCGTATTTATTCAAATTTATACAAAACTGAAAATAACGAAATTTGCGTATTTACATATCTGTAGCGGACAACCGGAAATATGCTACAACCGGAAATAATTTTAATTGGCTGATATTCTGGGGGTGAAAAGCCCGTAGAGGCGAATTGTGTCAGGCTCTCTTCAATACCGAGGGCCTGATACTCAGGTTACAACCGTCGAAGATTGTGTAAGAAAGAAAGACCTTCCATTCGGTTTTTATCCTATATTTAATAATATAATAATAATATATATACATTAAATGTAAAAGAGCTGTTTCTGTGGAATGACATGGGCGAAAGCTGGATTGTTGTTCGCAGATGATATTGTTTCTCATGTTAATAATTATACAAGCTTAACTGATCGAAAATGAGTTTTTCTAAGATTTTGGCCAATGCATGAATCACAGATATAGGTCTAATTTCCACATTCAGCCTTGTCTCCTTCTTTGTGAATTGGAAATACTTTTGCAAGTTTTAAGTCCTCTAGAAAAGTTCCAGTTTCCAATACAAGGTTGAATACATGCAATAAGGAATCGTATATCATATTTCCAGCTGCTTTAATTGCTGACGCAGCGAGCGAGCCTGAAGGCGAGCGAGCAAGTCAGCAGTTCTAATTCGTATTGGGCTCTGAAAGTAAGATTTTACTTCCGTTTCTCCGACCAGAATGCATTGCTGTTAACCGACCAGAATGCATTGCTGTTAGCCGACCAGAATGCTTTGCATGCATGATGCTATAAATACGGGTAATCTCATTAGTCAGTTTATATAAGCCGGTAACGATGCAGTTCTTTCGGTGTATTTTGTATTTCATTGTATGCCTGGTCTGTTAATTTCTGGCTGGTCTTACACTATATAATACTGAATTTGTTTATTACAAACAATTTATAACGCTTCGAAAGCGAATTTATGCGTTTGTGCTCTTCGCCTTATTTTCTTTTGTCTTTTAATTCTTATTTCATGTAGCACTTATAGAAGTAAAATCAACATTGTATTTGCACGTCTGAAAGCGTTCATTTCAAGCGAATCAATTATTGTCCGTCAGTTTCACTTTGCAATAATTTAAACAGGGTTTAGGTTGTAGACCTTTTGTTTGAATATGATTTGACAACAAGGTAATTGACACGGAGACATGACATGACAACTGCCAACTATGTTTATAGCATGGCGTTTTAAAAGAACGATGCTTTGCGTGCTATTTCATGGGTTAATTAAATGTACTTTGGCTGCCAAAAAGCACGCTACACTATACTCAGTGCATACACAACATAGTTTAATTTATGCATGGGCATTGTTTAAGCATGCAACGTAGCCAGGGGCAAGTCAGTAGGATCGTGCATGGGATTGAAGTATGTGCATTGAATATTTTTTCTAATTGATCTTGCTTTTGTTATTGCATGTGTCGAAACATTAAAAACAATGTCCTCAACTCCCGGGTGCATCCAAAAACCTGGAAACCTTTGAAGTACAGGGTGTCCCACAAAAAATGCCCTCTATAGATATTATCCTATTATTATAATTTGAATGCCTGAGCACTGTGCTGAACACAAGAGAGCGTAAACACAATTGAATTGAAATTTTAATTACCAGGAGCATGAAAAATCCTGGGCTTAACAACAATAGGATAATTTCTATAGATGGTACCACCCTGTACAATGTTTTTAGAATTTGCATGATTCCGAACTAATTGATCCCAAGCATGCGTAAACACAATAGTTAACCATTCGCAGTCGAACTGATAATTAGTTTTTTGCGTTACAAAATAACTTTTTGTTATTCTAATTTCTATCAACGCGGTTATAGTTAGAATGTATTTCCAAATCCCAGGAGCAAAATGAGTAGCACAAACATTGAAATGCTGGTAAGCAGCAGAATTATGCAAGTTATAATTATAGTGTTTGCAGGTTTTTTGATACACCCTGTAGTTTTCGAAGTAACGTGGCTTTAATTTGACGTCCTTGGATGCAAGTTTTGCTCCATGACCATGTTGTTCGATATTTAGTTCTTAAACGATCGACTTCACTTCAGTAAAATCAAAAGAAAGGCAATTTGGCGAAGAAGTATATTCAAGCGAAGTAAAATATCAGCTAAGCACTTTACTTTATTCTTTCTTTAGCCTGGTTCACATATATGCCTGCGGTATACCTGTGCTATCATTGTTCACAGCTTTTCAGAGCAGTTGTTGTCAATAGCCCGCCGACATACCGCAGGTGTAAGTAGGTATATGTGAACCGGACTTTTATGTTTACTAGCATTTAAAAGTCCGAGTTGCGCTCATGTGTTTTATATCTGATAAAGCACTCCTGCTCGCGTTTTAAATAGCACATACCGGACAGTCCGCACTCACTGTAGAGTTGTGGTCTTGTGATAGTTTGAAGTATATATGTGGTCTTTAGTAGTGATACAGTGTATCGTTGTTGTGTAATTAAAAGCATTGAATAATCTGTGTGCTCTTAAAATAATTATTGGCTGATATTGTGGTCTATAGTGAAAAGGTTCCAAAATGGGTGCAAGTTTCCATTATGTTGTCGTTCTGATGTCACAGATATTAGAGAACGGTAGGATAGACAGATTAAAAAAAGTTTATGGTTAGATTCTCATGTTTCGCGCACAATAAAGCTAGGGTTAGGGATGGTTTTGATTACTTTATTCGCATGACCTATTTACAAGGTATTGCTAAAGTTTTCAATAATATATTACATAAAACATGATGTGCACGATTAACAATATCAATAGGTTTTATATCTATTAATGATTCAAGCACGTTAGGTGAAAAAACTGTCCGAAAATAAGTTAAACACACACCAAATCATTGTGGGGTAATGGGTTCAGGGTGAAGTGAACCAATTATATACATTATAGTCTCAAACTTTGGTCAACCCAAAGACTCATTAAGCCTTATGTTTTCATCCCGCAGGGGTATATATAAGACCTGCTAGGAGAGACTGAATGCCCTAGCGGTCAGAATCCCCAAATAGAGCCCTGCCAGAAGGGTAGCGAGCCCCTCTAACATCAACCTGAACCAAGGGGTCATAATCCCCTTGGACAGTCCCTACGATTCGACTGATTATATTTACATAAATAACTGAATCTATGGGCCTAAAGTTGACCATTGGAAACACTTCAACCCGACAAATACACAGCATGTGTATTCCCCATAGACGAACTCCCACCACAGCTGTATTTGTATACAAGACAGCTGCTGCCAGATGATAGTTAGACATATATTTGGGCGTCACCATGACTCATACTATAGCTGGATAGTCAGGGAGGCAAAAAAAGCATGGAATATACAGGAAACCTGGATGGGGCCAAGACAACCAGCAGCTTCCCCACAAAGCTTCTATCTTACAATTCTTAATTGGAAGGTTTAGTTCAAAATAGCAGGACCAAAATGCCATTCAGGTGCTTATAAACACAGTGTTGCGATCGAACATCCAATCATGCATTCGTGATATTAGCAGAAATTGTAAGGATATGTATTTGGTAGACAAAATAGATTATGCAGTTAAATAATAGTACATCAAGGATTTTCAATTTTCATGAGCGTAGGCATACATGGTATCATACCAATCTTTCATGTTATCCATCTATGATTGGTGGAACTTTTTCGAATTATGTGACATTACTCTAAGAAAAATTAGTTACTCATTACTTTAAATCAAAATAGCAGGACCAAAATGAAATTCAGGTGCTTATAACCACAGTGGTGCGATCTAACATCCATGCAATCATGCATCCATGATAATAGCAGAAATTGTAAAATAATATGTATTTGGTAGACAAAATACAATTTTCCTGAGTGTAGGCATACGGTGTACATGTTATCGTACCAATCTTTCATGATATCCATCTTGCTGATTTATTGCAAATATACATAAACATATATGCGCAGAGTTTAAAGTCTTAAATTTCGTTCACAAAGCAGCTTGCTTTCTTAAGTTTTGAACAGTGAAGTATTGGGCTATTGGCAATGTATGCAGGTCAAATTAATTTTGTGAAATAGCTGAAAAAGAAATTCTACTTTTGTGCGATTGAATACAGTTTAATGTAAAGGCCTGAGATTGAAACCCAATCCAACGCCGAATCTGAGGCGTAATCTGAAGCCTAATCTGCGGCTAACCTCAAGGTGGTAATAAAATTGTCATTGGAATTTTTTGATCAACAAATAATACACCGGAATGTTGTTATAAATTAGACGAATTTAATACATTTGGTTGATTTGAGAAGTGGAATACGAAA